GACCTGCCCCGACCRTGGCGCCGCTGCCGGCGCTTCCCCGGGAAGCTCCATGTGCAGCATCCCCYGGGGATTGCTTTAGAGAGTTATGGTGAGAACTGCTCCCAGAAAACAATAAAAGTGACTGTAAATGAAAGGCTGTGATTTGCTAACCCTCRCAGCGCTCCCAGCTCAGCCGGCAGGAGACGCGGCTCAGACCAAATGAGCGGCTGCCTTAGATAGTCCCAGCTCTTGAGGAGCGGGTGAAAATGCACCTCGCCCAGCACCGTTTTGGTAGCAAACSAGGCAGTTCCTCCGCACGGGTGAGAAACACCGTGAACCGGGCGCCCGAAGCTCCAGCACGAGCGGCGGGGCTGCAGGGCTCTCCCGAGCTGGCTTTCGCTCCGAGCCCTGGGAGACTCCCTTGGCTGGGACCTTTCATTCRTCCTGGCCATTGGGGTGCTTTATCTCTGCAGGAGGGCAACTGGCTGTTCCTAGGGGCTGGAGAAGGAGGGTTATGTGAACGTGCACTGCTGGCTACCGCCTGCCTTGGGTGCCTGCATCCATCCACGCTGTGCCACAGGCCCCTGCAGCTCCGCTCCTAGGCTCTTGTTTCTGTTCCCACATGGAAGCTCTCTCTGCTTCTGCCAAAGGTAGTTCGTGTGTTTCTGAAAAAGGTTTGGGCTTTTTTGTGTTTTCTTTTCAACAATAGCAGCAGTGTAATTCCTACCTATGGTTTTATCAATGTTAAAAGAAAGTCATCAGTTGAGACTGCAAAGTAATGGGATTCAAAGTTCAGGTTTTCTGCTCGTGAGTTTGTTGCACGTCCTGTTCTTTCACATGTGTTCTCCRGAATCGTCCTCTGCTGCTATTCCTACAAGCATGAAAACCAGAAAGCTGCTCAAAAAGAAACTAGAAAGAAAAATGCCCTTCGTGCCCTTGGACAAGCAGGCTGGGCTGTGCTGCCGCTGCGCCAAGCACCACTGCGCTGCCCGGAGCGCATCAGCGCGGGCAATTCCCCCTAAATTGCTCCCTGGTGCCGGCAAGGAGGGCTCTCCCTGGGTGCTGTTTGCGTTGGAGTTGCATGTTCTATAATGCAAATTATAGAGGCGGAAATGTAATAACCTAAGAGCTTGGAAATGTGCAGGGTGTCTGGGGAGGAAAGGTTTTCCTTGGAGCTCCTCCGCTGCCCTGGCCAGGAGGCAGGGAGAGGCAGGACCGGGCAAGCCCGTGCTGCAGGAGGTGATGTTCCTTCATCTTTGATTCTGGTGCAAATAATTTCCTCCTTTTTCTTTTGTGAYGCTAAATTATTCAGCTTTAAATTTATGACTAATCTCTGGTTTTCAATCTCTCTTTCTTCATAAACWTGCCAATAGCTACTGCACTTCGCTGAAGAGGAAACAGTTTCCAGCATAAATGCAGAGCTCCCTTTGCATGCTTTAAGGCKGTTATAAACAAGTATTATTTAAGTTACAGTGGCATAAAATAGGAGAAAAATCACTATTTTTTGCAGGATACCTATTTAAGAAAGTAGAATAAGAAATAATTATAACTACTTCCAGTATCATCATCATCATGACCTTCTTATTTAACTGATTCAAAGGATCCTCTAGATTGCTTTTTAAGCCGTATTTCATAGTGTTTCTTGCTACCTGTGGTAATGCGGTCCTACCCGCTAAAGAGCRTGCTTGGAAAGGCCACTGAGTGGAAGTTGGATTTCATCTGGTGGCGATCCCTATCTTTGCATTTTAATTAAAAACAGAAAGGCAACAAAAAAAGTGCTCTGTTTTTACATCACAAGCGTTTTTCCCCCAAACCACTGTTGGGGCTTATAGTGGGTGGTAGAGCRGCTGCAAAAATGCCCCGTGGAGCTACTGAAAAAGCTGGAGATGGGAGAATAACATATTGTGAAAATAGCTGTGTATGAGGGTTGAAGATATATATATATATCTATAGCTGGAACCAGGTGAGTAAGATGTGTGGTTCTGAAGATAGTGACTGATTTATAGCCTCAGTACACTAATTAAAAGGTATTAATCCATGAAATGACAGTGCTTGAGAGAACTGTTTTGTATAGGAGCGTGGGAATGCTGAAATCCTGCATTCAAGTACAAGAGAGAAGGAAACAAAGTTTTAATTTGTTCCCTCTTTTCACTTTTTTTTTTCAGTTGCCTGTGTTAGAATCCACCAAAGAAACCGCAACAGAAAAACCCAGTCACAGAGTATGAGCWGTAAATTGCCTCATCTTTTTCACAGCTCTTATTTTGTTTTTTTCTCAGCTTGATGCAGTGTCTTGGGATTCGCATCCTTTGCGACTTGCCTGTACAATGAAGTTTTCTCCGTAGCGTTGGTGCCGCGTTGCGTAAGGGACCCAGCTCCCCGCCGCCCTCGGAGGCGATGGAGAAGGGGGCGCTCCGGGCGGGCGCCTGCCCCGCCAGCGCTCAGCGAGAGCACAGCTACAGGAAATAACCCAAAAAGCCTTTCTAAAACTACTTACGGTTGCTTTTGAGCACAGAAAAGTAGAACTTGAATTCTATATGTGTACCAAAATGCTAAGTCTGTATAAGGCAAAACAGTAGTAGTGCTCTGTGGGAAGAGCAAGGGGCTTTAAAAGCAAACAAATGGAAGGGTTTTTAGATGCTTACAGAGGCAGGAGTTGAATTCTGTAAAGTTTTACTTATTTATCTGCTGTTTCTTGGCTAAAGTTCCGTTTTTTGKCTAGACTGTGGATACTATGTCCTTGGGTATTTTCCTGATAGACATCTAAGTATCTGCTAACGTTCCGGAAGGTACAATTTGCTTGTAATCCTCCATCTGTTCCCCAATGACACACCGCAGATCTGTTAGGAAAGCATCCCCTGGGGTCAGTGGAGCTGTATGGACTTTGTTCAGATGAGAATCCCACGTGGAATATTTGTCCCTGAACTTTTCCTGAATGCCAAGTCATGTTTTCACTATGTAATTGCTGTTTTTCATCAAAAAAAAAGATGATCTGGTGATCTGATCAGGTGCGTTTCTGATTGCACGTTGATTTTAATTGCCTAATTGTGCCTGAAGATTGTGGTCACGAGGATGTAAAAAAGGATGCGTGCAATGGGAGTGTAAACTTTGCAAAAACGCTTCATCAAAGCTCCCTTTTTAGCACACACCTCCAGCAATAAGGCTGCAAAAAGAAATATTCTCAATGTATCRCGGCAGGGTCGTGGTGGGGCTGCCGCTGCGCGAGGCGCTCGGCCCCGGGAGCCTCCTGCTCAGCCGCCCTCGTGCTGCAGCAACCCGGGGTGCCCGGGGCATCGCCACAGCCCGAGTACGTGCAAGTGGGCAAGAGGGAAAGGATAGGATGGGAAAAAAATAGGGAATTAATCATTTACTTTAAGGGATTTTACAGTTCTACTTTATTTTCTTTTAGCGTAATCTTTGTATGTACATCACAGGTGGAAAAACAGGGTAAAATAAATGGAGGAAAATGGAAGGGTTTAAATCTGGCTTTGCTTGCTGGTGTTTCGCTACGGTCAGTTGGGAAGCTCTAGCAAAGCTGCATTTATGCTGTTGTGTCTCGACATCTCGTTTATTTTGCAGTGGTAACTTCACAAATAAACCATTAAATGCTGACTCTGAACAGATTTTATGTGCCAAGCTTCTGTAGCTGTAACTGTCCCCAAAGGAGCTTTTATTTATTTATTTTTAAGTGCCCAATGTAGGAAATTGCTCAGAAACATTCAGCAATGCTATCTTGCTCTTTCCGTTCTCTCCCGTCATGTGTGTTAGAAATAGAGTACTTAAGAAAATATTCATAATTCCTGTGCAGAATATGTAGGAAATCTTGCAAAATCAATATCTTTTTTTAAATCATAAACTTTTCTGTCAGCAGGAATTTAGGCATTCCATGCCAGAAGTGCGTAAGTTCTGTTATCACTGCTTGTCAGGAATAAATGGTGAAGCAAAATGAAAATAAAGAATTGTATTGCTGAGTGTACATGCTTTGATGCTTGAAAAATTGCGATGGAAATAAATCAAGAATATAGCATTCAAAAATAAATTTAGCCCTTGAACATGAAAAAATAAATCTACAGAGTCCTTCAGTTTGTGCCAACAAAATATATTCACGTGGTGACTATTTTTGATAGTTGATAATAGGCAACTGTATTTATTTTATATAAAATATTATGAATACAGCAAAAGCCTAAGATGAATACTCAGAATAAGTCTGCATCCCCCAGGAAGGCAGTGTGGCTGCCAGGTAAGGRGTTTAAGGCTGTTGCTTGAATTTCCTCCCGTTGAACTCTTGGATGGGGACACACGCAGCTCGGTCACGGTCCCTGGAGTGCCATTAGTTCGACATTGGGTGCCAATGGACTGTGACCTGGACACTGCACAGACAGCGCTGAACTCAACGTATAATCTAGTCTTCTAGGGTGTAACAGTTTCCATCAAAGGTAGGGGAAACAGGTGGAAGCTGTATATATATATATTTTTATATATATTCATATATATATTTATATATATTTTTAATATATTTTTATATATCTTTATATATATTTTAATATACATTTATATATATTTTTAATATATATTTATATATATATTTATATATATATTTATATATATATATTTTTATATATATATTTATATATATATATATATCTCAGAAATAAGGCCTGGAAATAGAGGGCTTCTTATTTATGTGTGTTTATGTATATATTTTCACCATTTTAAAAAATTGCTGTGAATTTACTCATGTATGCTAAAGTTTGGATGAATCTTAWACTGCAGTGACCAAACAGGGAGGAATTGCCTCTATAAATATTTGTGTTATTTTTTTTGGCAACTATTTTAATTATCGCTGGTTCTTACTGGCAATCAGTGTTATTAAATCATGATATGAATTTAGTGAGACTAATAAAGTTCTCTGCATGCAGTGCAAGTTTGGCAGCCTTAGGGAACCTGGAGAGCAGAACAACGAGAGAGTATCTTTTCCAGCTTAGACCAAACCCAGTAATCTTTCCCTGTCTTTGATATTCCAGGATGTAATGTCCACGTTCTTCCAGTTTGGGGCTTCCATCCAGCAGGAGGCCATCGTCATGCTGAAGATCATGCAGGATTATGACTGGCACGTGTTTTCTCTGGTGACCACCACCTTCCCTGGCTACCGAGACTTCATCAATATCATTAAGACCACGGTGGAAAATAGCTTTGTGGGCTGGGACATGCAGAACACCATCATACTYGATACTGCCTTTGGAGATGCCAAGACCCAAATCCAGCTGAAGAAAATCCACTCCTCCGTCATCCTGCTGTACTGCTCCAAGGACGAGGCTGTCTACATCCTGGATGAGGCTCGCTCCCTGGGCCTTACTGGCTATGATTTCTTTTGGATAGTTCCCAGCCTCGTTAGCGGTAACACAGAAATTATCCCCAAGGAGTTTCCTTCGGGACTCATTTCAGCATCCTACGAYGAGTGGGACTACAGTTTGGAGGCGCGGGTGCGGGATGGCCTGGGGATTATTGCCACAGCTGCATCAGCCATGTTGGAGAAATATTCCTTCATTCCAGAAGCGAAGACGAGCTGTTATGGACAGCTGGAGAAGAACGAGCGGCCCTCTCACACCTTGCACAAGTAAGGCTTGTACTGCTGGTTTTTCTCCTCCCCTGCGTAACACTGGTGGTTTTTCATTTCAGTGCCTTTCCTTGAAGGAGAATAACGTAGTGAGGCCTGTYGTGTTGCTCACGTGTGCCCAGAAATGCGCTGATGTTGTGGGGAGATCAAACGCCGCCTGGTCTGACGGGAAGGCGGGCGGGAATTAGCCGCGCCGAAAGGCCCTGAACCGAGATCATGAGACGATGCCCTAAGTACAAGGTAGAGGCCCACGTGTGGTGGAGGCCTTGCCTGCCTCCCTGCAACRGCCACTTGCTCCTGCAGGCACCTGGTCAATGCTTCAGTGCAGAGACACACRCAAGGTTTTTATAGGTCTCCCTGACAATTATCGAGGCACAAGATTAGCTTGGCAGCTTTACCACCTCATAACTGGAAGCTCTCCCTTGTGATGGTGAAGATTTCAGTTTTGCCATCTCTACTAGAATATCTGTAAAAATTAATCTGTGCTAATCCAGGTTGATATGGATGTTTTCTCTGGGAACAGTCAAGGTTTAAGCCAAGATTCTTTGCTCTTCATCTTTTTTTGTGGGTTTTTTTTTGGTTATACCTTTGGTGTGGTGCTCCTCATACTTTGCCTAACGTGCACTGTGCAGGCAGCTATTTGGTTTGTGAAAGGGAATTTGCTGTGTGGCTCTGTACGGTATCCTGGAGGGAAGATGCCCGGCAGGATTTGTGCGATCTGTTTGAATGAGATATTGCGGAGAACAGCAGGATGGAACTGKCACAAGAGCAAACTCAGGGCTCCTTTCACAGAGGAGGGCGCACGTTCTTGGGTTGAGTTGACTGCTCTAGGATACCCTAAAAGAGGGTTTTTTTTCCCCATGCAAATGACTGTTGAACAGACTTTTCAATTTAGAAATATAGAAATGTCAGAATTACACTAAAATGAGTAAAGTTTCAATAGTCTTTCTTATATAACTCCGCAAGAATATACGAGTATTTCTCACTGCTAGGTCGCCTCTGGGAGCTGGCCACTCTCCCCTTGCCTGGGTTGATTATTCCCTTCCCTCACCCCTGAAATGAGGTGACACTTTTGTGCGTGACACTGTAAATCCCCACTGCAAATAACAGGCTAAACAAGGATTTTGTGCTCCAGTGTAATCTTCAACTTCAGGCCGCAGAAACCGCATTAAGCAGCAAACTTGAGGCAAGGATTTGGGAACACGTTTAAAAAGAGAAGGGCTAAAGGAACTGTAAATAGGTGGCGGAGCCAAGACGTGCCCTAGCCGAGTGTTGCTCTCGGGCTGCGGRTCAGTGCTGGAGAGGTGGGACTGCAGGAAGGCTGCTGTAAAAGCAGGCTCAAGAATGGAGCAGGAAAGGAGGAGAATTTGGGGCTCCAGGCCTGATTTACACAGTGTCATGCAGCTCTAGACCCAGGAGAGTGTTCTCTGCTTGCTCCATGGTAGCTCGTTTGCTCAGGAACAGAGGGAACGCTCCACCTACTGCTGCCTGCACCTCAATACTGACTCTATTCGTGGAAAATATACTAATCTATGAATTCTCTACTTATAGGAAAATTCTACCATGTAAAGACAACCATGAAGTAAGAGCTCCATGGCCCTCTTTCTTCCTTATAGTAATGAATTCAGTTGCATATTGTTTGAATCACACAATTTGTGTGTCTTCTGCTGCAGTTCTAAGGTTTTTTGCAGTTCTAAGATGCTTTTATTGCCTTTCCAGACTCAGCAAGAAGGCAAGTGTCTTTTAGTCCATTGCAATGATCTGATCAATCTTCATTTCTGATACCCTTGGGAAGACCAGAGTGGTTTCCTCTTGAATATTAAAAGTAAGATGCAGCGTTCATTTCCAACACATACACACCTACAAAGTGTTTATTCATATGCACATATATGAATATGAAAATACATATATAGAGACRCCCACACATATAAATGTTCAGATCTGCATTTTAAAATGTGGTCCTGGTGGGCAGCAGAGGTTGTCCTTGGTGGCCGCCCAGGTACAGCTGCAAGGAGCTGATGTGCTGCCCTTGGACACCTCGTTGCTCTGGGTGGCAGAGCTGCGGGCTCGCAAAGTCCCCARGCGTGTCCTGCTCCGGGCAGAATTATATTAACTAAATTGTGTGCATTTATTTTTCTAAGGGATCAAAGAATTGAAGGTTGYTGCTTCCCTGCATTGCTGCGGGGCTGCCTGTGCCTGTGTGCGCATCTGCATGCCCTGCGCTTTGGAAATCCAGCTCTGCTGGAGATGCCCTAATTTTGGTGGCACAATGGCAATGCCAACATGTTTATGTAGTTTGTAAAATATTTGCTTCCCTATGGTGTATTGTTAGGTTTGTGATCCTTGCATGGATCACACGGTATTGAGGTTTTAGTTGATGCCCATGTGGATGTGTCTGGCCTTAGCACTGTGGACCAGCCCTGCTTCTGTGTGTAGACCTGTTCCAGCTCGGGTCTCCTGCAGCCTTTCCTCGTGGCCATGAATGACTTKGGAGTGGTGATTCCAGAACATACTCCTTAAGTTTGACTTATTTTTCGTCCAACGTATCTCAAAAATGTGCATTCCCCTTGCCTTCTGGCCAGGCTTTGCAGCTTGAATTTCCCTTTGAAAAGCCATTTGATTGAGCAGCTGGTCCATGCGCTGCTGCCTGCAGAGAAAATTGCTGTGGAAAGGAGAGACGCCCGGAGAAGCCTCTTGGTTCCCTCCCCTCCGCGCCTGAGCAGCGGGAAGAGCAGCAGGCTCCACGTGAGGAAGGGCTTGTGAGCGGGCAGGGCCCGGGGCGCTGAGGGGCCGCGGGCGGCCGCGCTGAGGACGGGAGGGCTCCCAGGAGCGCGGGCAGCGCGGCCGCTCGCGCTCGCTGAGCGCCAGCGGGCTCCGGACGCAGCGCTGCGCTCCTGCAGCTCCCACAGCACCTCTGTTGTCTGGCTTAGAAGCACGAAAGCCACACGTATAGCATGGCCTTGGCTCCTTGGGTGATGTTTTGAGAACAGCKTAACTCTTGCCAAAATTGCCTTCTCACCCAGGTTCCACGCGTGTTCTGCACCACAGGAGGTCAGTGTGGAGGCCCTGGGACTATGCGCCTCCCAACTGCACTTTGCAGAAGGCAGCTAGGYTTAGCAGAGCCAGGCTATCGCGTGGCAGCACTAATGAGTTGTGAAAGCAGATTAGCTGCTAATCCAAGGTGTGTGCTCAATTTTGCTCTTAAAATAAGAAATTTAAATATTCAAGCACCTCATTAACTTCAGAGGAGGAATGTGCAATTCCAAAGATACTTCAGAAGTAAATTTGGTCCAATTCAGAAAGCAAAGATACCTYGAAGAGAATTAGTCTTGGGCAAATTTAAAACTTTCCAAGAATAGCACATAATATAAATACCTTTTCTTCACTCTTCTTAACCAGGAATAGACTATGTGCAAAAGTTCTTCACTGAGGCAAGGATTTTAGGATCTTTGCCAGTAAAACTGGGACAGGATTTCAGTCCTCCTTGGAGGAAAAATGGCAAGTCAGAAGCGAATATGGATTTCAGGCATGGGTTGCTSTGTTCCCAGGCTTCAGAACACAGGCTGTGTTGAATTCCACACTGAAGGCTGGACTTGGAAAAACAAGAATCTCTTTGATGTTCTTTTTTATTGTTGCAGTTGAGAAACGAGGGTAGCTCGGCATGCGTCACTCACCAGTACCTTTGTTCGTGCATCAGACAATGCACTTTTAAGAGAACTGGGCAGGTGTGWGGGGGGGTTATTTTAATTCATAAGGACGTGCAGATAGATGATGGTTCTTGTTGAAGAGCAGAGAGCATCACACAGCAGCAGCACCGTGTCCTGCCACGGTCCCCGAGGCGCTTCTGAGCTGGGGGCTTTGGCATCAATTCCCAATGGGAGGATGGGTAGCTGCAAGGCTGCCGAAAGACAGATCCAYGCAAGCAAAATCACCCCGTGTGTAATTAAAAATGAGGCTGGACAGAAAAGCCTCACGCGATGCGGTGCGAGTATTTGTGGCTCAGCTGTTAGGAAGAGACAAAGATCCCAGGCTGAGCTTTATAGGCTGCAGTGGGTTGGGGGTGGCCCTGTCAGGCATCAGGCTGGTCGTGTGGAGGGTTTTCAGTGCTYGAATCTGGAGATCTAGAAGGGGCAGAAGGTTCCACGAGGCAGAGACCTCCTGGGATGGAGAGGAAGAAGAGGAGAAGCAGGGCGAGCTCCAGGACTGTGTCCGTGTTTTACCCTTTAGGAGCTCTCTAGAGATTTTCCTGGCGAGGATCCCAGTGCACTTCATTTGCAGCAGCGAGGGAGGTGTTTGCTGCTTTCTGACACGTATCCACAACCACATTCTGCTTGGTGGCCTCTCACRTGCTCTCGGGATGACAAACAAGCGTTTTATTCCTAAGTAAGCTCTGTCAGTGCCTGGTGAGAAACGTAATATATGGGAAATTAGTTCAATTGAAAAGGAAAGCTGCACCAAGGGGAAAATTTGCCTACCAAAAGTCTGTCACAAAATATGAGTTGTTATTATGGCTAAATTTAAAAATTGCTGTCAAACTGCTGCTGAGTGGTGTTAATATGGTTGTTTAGAGCYGTGCACGTTTAATTATTAACTGCCATGATATGAAGCCATTAATTCTGCTGGGTTGATATACTTTTATGTAAAATGCTTCAACTGCTGGGATTTTCAGGCAGCTGTGTCTGTACGAAGCCTCCTCTTTCAAACAAAAACTGAAGAATTTGGTCTCGGATGGAGCAGGAGGCCAGGCCGCTACATAGAAAAGCAGGGGAAAYGATATGAACGTCTTGGCAAAAACGCTCCACAGTCATCTATGGACAGTCCCTCTAAGAACGTCCTTAATACCCTGAGAAAAGCATCTGTTTGAAGGGTGGAAAGGCAAAAGGCTTCAGTTCAAGGAGAACACGTACCTGGAAACACGGGCTAACCTGTGTCCACATCTGGGCGCTTGAGTTTTCTCCACCAGTAAGAGCACCAGTGCCACTAGCTGCATTTTGCTCTTGTTCCTCCCGTGCCTGGTTCTCTTGGCTGAGGGAGCTCCAGGTGATGGGCAAAACGACAGATTTTTGCAGTGTCCCCGTGTGGGGAGGCTGGTCTGCAGACTGGAGTAGCTTACACTTGGCAGCAAGTTCCCCGTATTTGTGCTTTAAATAAAAGCTGCTATTTCTCATCACTCTCCCTGACCCTGAAGCAGTGAAAACAATCTGTTCTCGCTGTGAAACACTGAAGCTGTGTGGAGCAGGAACAAATATAAATACAGTTATATGTTACAAATCTGTGAAATCTTGTGAGGGAAAATTAGCTGGGAGGAAAATCTAGACCAGAAGAGGAGATGGCCGCGATGCTGGTGTTTCTGCCTCAACAAAAGCCCTTGGGTTTGGAAARTGAACTATGTGGTGCCATGACAGAGGGAAAACAACAGTTAGAAATTAAGAGCCAATGCTTACAAATTGAGAAATGGAAAAGGTAAGTTGTTTTAGACTACTGTAAAATTGGTATAAACTCAATTGAGTGTTTCAGGACCTTCTGGAACAAATGCATGGCTGGAAGAGCTCCAGGACTGCGTGGAGCTGAAGGGTGTCTGCACAGGGAGTGCAGAGACCTTCCCGGTAACTGCTGTATCCCAGCGCTTCCAGCCGAGGCCGGGATTCGTGGAGCAGTGTCGTGACCCACAGCTCACGCGTGGCCTGGGGCAGAGTGCCGACTGACCTAAGCAAGCAATAAATACGGTGGCACTTGGACTTTTCACATGTGGGTTAATTGTTAAAAGAGCCCTCCAGTCAGCAGCTGTTTTTAACCGAAGAGATTGAAGTGAAATATTCCTGAGGGCGAGCGTTGCAAAGAGAGTGGGCAAAAGGACCAGAGGCGCTGGGGGGATTCTTGGAGGGGCAAGGGGGTGAATCTGGTGTGAAACCTCTGGGTGCTTCAGCGCTGAGACGGGAGCACACCTTGCATAGGGGTCTGGGGCGCGCGTGCTGGAAARGGTGCTGCAAAGAGGATGAGGCTGCCCAAAGCGTGAAAAAGTAACACAAGGAGTCGCGTACAGGTTGTACACAACATGGAAACTACCTCTTAAAAACATCTGCATTAAAAATAATYATTTGCTTTTTCGTCTACAAGGAACGCATAAAAATTCACAGATTCTTTATGCTGCAAACCTGGCTCTTCACAGCATTATTGGGATTTATTACATGTATTTCATTGGTGATTCTGATGACTGAATTAGCTTGCTCATTACCTGCTGGACAGCTCATTAATTTTTCACTGAACGCTTTTTTTCTCCTCCTAGGTTTATGATGAATGTGACKTGGGAAGGTAAAGATTTGTCCTTCACGGCAGATGGCTATCAGGCACATCCCCGGCTGGTGGTGATAGTGCTCAACAACGACCGGGAATGGGAAAAGGTGAGGAACAGCTGTGAGGAACAGAGGCCAGAGGAGGCGGGGAGRACCGCTACAGCCCTGCCCGTGACAAATGGACGGATTACTGTCACAGATGTCAGGAACGATGCTCCKCTCTAACAGATTTGTCACAGCAGTTCAGAAAAGATAATTTCACCTTATTGTGTTTATCTATTATAATTAGGTGTGGGCAGCTCTGGCAGAAAAACCAGTTTATCAGTGAAGATCTGTCATGCAGATTTCGGACCCTTTGAAGCATGTTTTGCATTCCTTCTCCCAGTTCAGTAAAATTAAATGGATGACTGAGAAACCTCCTCCTTACTTAAATTTTCGTGCTTTGCACAGATAAACACAGTCCAAGAGTCCTTCAAACAATTCTGTTGTTTTCATAATTTTTAATAGATATTATATGCTTGCAAACTATGAAATGATTTTTGAATATTTTGGAGGTTAATCCACATAAACTATGCCTAGAAATGTTCAGAATCTAGACTTCTGTTCTTCTGGTAGGYAAGTGATCTCCATAAATCCCTGTCTAGTCTAGAAGGAAAATGTACTCTCAAGAGTAAATAATGTTGTTTGCTTAGATGTACTTAAGAGGCAGAGAGCAGCAACCCAGGGTCAAGTACGATAYGGGGAGAACCCTACATTTCTTCCCTTTTAAAAATGAATTTACTGCGGCCAGGTTCTGCTGCCCATTTTCATGCATTGGAAAAGAATGGGAGCATCGTACTTTGGGTGCATGGAATGAAGAGATGTGTATTTTAAATCCTTTGTGGCTTCCTAGGAGAGTTAGTAATAAGAGCAAGTTTGTCCTGGACATTTTTTCTTCTTTTAATACTGCCACAWCAGCTTGTGATTCCTTTGGCTCTGATGTTTTGCAGGTTATCTGAGGRCTTGTGGTTTAAGAACAATTGGAAACATTGGAAAATGTTTGCAATTTGAGAACTTGTATATTCTCCCTTTTTTTAAAATTCRTAAAACATGTTCCTGGGTTATCGAATTTGCTGCTGAAATCTATATATYGTTTTGCCTCTATACAACCTCTTTCTGTTTTAGAATCCCATAGACGGTTAAGCATGACTCTGTAAGACTGCTGGGTTCCTAATGATGTCAAATAATAATGATCAAATAAGATTTACTAGAGGTTATCTAAGTAAATATGCTAGTCATTCAAAAATATGAAATGTATGTATGCTGTGCACTCCTTGACGTGCATTTGATGCAAATTTAATTCTCCAGATAAATGCTATCTAAATGTGCAAATCTGAATCTTTGGAGGAATYTTTTGCTCAGTAACTGTTATGAAAACTTGTTATCCTGTTTTAAAATTGTGCATATCATATATAATGTTCTGCGGGACATTAATCTACTACATGGACAATATTAGTATGATGCACCAAAGGGAGAAAATGGTTAAAGATGGAGTCTTATGGAATCAAAATTTCATACATTTTATATCTTGAACCTTCTCTTAAAAGATCGCTCAAAGGACAAAGAGAAATAGGTTTGGAGCTTGTGAAAAATGAGCTAATAACAGCCAGRAAACCGTGGCTATATGAGCACACAATATTTCCAAGCAGGAGCTGGGGCCGCGTTGGCCTCGGGGGCCTCCGTGGCAGAGGGACCGGGTGCCCAAGCGGGCAGGTGACCACTGCCCTCTGCAGCGCGTCCTCACGTGCCTCCCACGTCCCTTGTCTGGCCCTTAGCCCATTTCCTCCTCCTCCTCCTCGGTTCTCCCTCCTTGTGTTGCTGTCCTGCTGAGTTTGAAGTGCATGTAGGTTGGAGGTGATCTGAGATCTGATGTGTCCTGCTTTCCATTTCGGGACAGATACCTGCTTTCGCTTCCCGTTACACCGTCCGTGAGGTTCACAGGCTCTYGCTGCATTGGAGTCTGATTAGATATCCCCAATCCTCCATGGAAAACAAGCATCCTGGCATCGAGTAACATGATTCACTTGTGTGAAAAGCTGATAATGCAGCAGTCTGCTAATCCTTGTAATGTAACTAACGTACATGGAAATCGCAAGTAGTTATTATTTATTAGGCAATCTCCTCCTGAAAATACAAGATTTAATACGAAAACTCAATTCAGTTTCCTTTGCCTTTAGTGTAATAATCTTGAGTACATTTTTTCCCTTGGTCTCAAAACTGATGTACTTGACTCRAGGCTTGAGGTCACAGCAAATCTATTAAACCGTAGGTGAAGAGCACACATCTTCCCCCAGGAAAACAAGTTCCTTTCTCCTTTGCAAATGACTCAACATCAAAACTTTGAACRGGAAACTTCCCACAGAAGTGGTGTTGACTGAGAGATTTGTCCCATATCTGATTCTGAAAAGGGCGGCTTGGCTGATAATAGTTGGGAGCCTGCAGATCCTTCTGGGCATGTTCAGCAGCAGCCAGCGAGATATTTTGACAGATCCTAAAGCAGCTGCTCAAACTTCTGACGTGAACGATCAGAGTCTTTGTGCTAATCTTGACAGGCAAAGGGGCTGCTCTTCACAGGCAAGAGATTTTTAATAAGACAAGGCGAATGTGCCTATTTCAATGAAATGTGATAAACTTGCCAGCAGCAGCAGCGGCGTTGCCCAAAGAGCAAAACAGCCCAAAACAGCAGCAAAGAGAACCTGGGCAGGGCAGCAGGACCAGTGACAGTGTCCCCAGTGTCCCTGTCCCCATGTGGGGTGGCTCCTTCAGCCCCCTTATCACTCAGGTCCAAACTTCATGGTCCTTTTTTTTCCCTTTGTTTCTTTTTTTTTCTTTTTTAAATGTGGAAGACTGATGAGAAATAAAACCTCTCCATCCTATATTAGAATTGCACACTGGAATATAATTAGTGGCTAAATTAGGCCAACGCAGGCACTCTAATTAGCTGCATATTAGTGCCTATCATATATGTTAAACAAGGCTGGGAATGCTGTAGGGCAATTAAAGAAGTGTGTTTTACACCTGAAAAGATGAGTACCAAATATAAACAGTTTTCTCTAGTGCTTGTGAATAAGTATAGATAAAATTACCATTATTGCTGTATTTCCTTCTCTTTTTTGGAAAAGAGAATCTACTTTGGCGCTGGCTGAAGTTGTAGTTTAAAGTTTGATTTTGAAGCACTTTTGTGCTGCCATGGCTGGATGGTGGCAACCTGTTGGCGTAGGGAAGGAGGTCAGGACATGCTCTCTCCTTTGCCAAACATAAGATCCGTAAAATTTGAAGCAGAATCTTTCCAAAAGAGAGTTCGATTGCCSTTTTTCCAGACGAATCCCAGCTTCCATACATTGCTGTGGCTGAAGCCATGTTATCATCAATCTAATTAGGAATGGCAGAAAGTTATCAGAAACCTGGGGCTGTTCTGTGGCATTTCTGCCCAGCAGAGTAAAGGTTATTATGGGCTGGTGTTTGACAGCTCCGTGCCAGAGCACGGCTGCATTTTTTGAACATTGCTTTCAGCTTGAACATTCTGTTGGAAAGGTGTTTGCTTTACAGATAGCCMCTGATGTGTTTGTTACTTTCAGCTTCACGCTAACATAGGCTTGCTTTCTCCCCTAAACCCCTTTTTAATCTAGCAGCAGAGATACAGTAATGTCTGTGGAAAATGAGCTTATTTTCCCTTTTACTTTCTCCAGTAGTGTTAATTGGATTCTCCGGAGTATCAGCAGAAGGAAAGCTCTCTTTCTAGACCCACTTTTATGCTCTTTGCACTCTACGCATGCTTTTCTGTTCTCCATAGCTCTATTTGCTACACACTGTAACTAAATGTACTTAATTGGGTTTAAGGCAGGGGCATAAATCTAATTTTCAGACCTGTCTTTGAACTACTCRTAGTTCCATCTTTCACCTTGCCTAATCCAGAAGCCAAATGTTTCTTCTCTACTTAATCATCAAACAAATGGATTAAAAAAAAAATCAATGAAAAAGAGATGTTAAAGATCATACTTTAGGAAAAGAGGTGGATTTTTGCTGTGTGCTTCCTGTGCCAAGGGAATGATTCCTTGGCACGTGAGATCCCTGGCCGGGACACAGGTGCAGGTGATTTACACTTACGTGGGGAATGAGCTGAGATATTCCTGGCGTTTTAGAGAACAGGAAGGGAAYTTGTTATGTGCTGAAAGGGAGATAGTGAGAAGACTGCCCTGCTTTACCTACAGCCAAGTGTGCTGTCACAGGAGGGAGGCCCCACCAAGGCCATCTRCGCTGGCTCTACTTTGGGTTCCAGATGTCTGGGTCTGCTGCACGAGCCTGGAGGCACCAGCCGCTCTGTGAAGCTCTGGATGTTTCCAGTTTGTTTTGAGAGGAAAAAAAAAAAAAAAWTCCCATTAATTTGTAACCCAACGGAAAAGGATTGGGCCAGTAGAGATTCTTTCTTCTGAAATTTATCTCTGCGTTATTTCAATAGAGTGTATTTCTGGGTAGCAATTACAGAACAATTTTTCTCTGTTTAGAAGCTTTTAATGTGGTGGGTTTGATGTCTTTTGGAGCTGTTTTCTTTCAAGAAAYGAGGACAATGGGAATCATCTCCGGGGAAGTTCCCTATCCTCCCATCTCCTGTGCATCTGCTGACAAATGGAGGGGCCATCTGGCCGTCACCTGGGGAGTTTTAACTGCTCGTGAGCCCCTGTCCCCTGGCCGCCCTCCTCCAGGGGACACTTGGGAACGAGCAGCCTCCTGGCATTTGCTTTTAAAATGTAAAGTTCCTAGTAGGGCTTTCTGTTTTCCTTCACATTTGTACCAGAACCAGTGCAGATATTGAGCTTCTGTGTTGTCACAGTCCTGTGGCTTGCTCTACGCAGGCTCCTTTGGTTTTACAAACTGATTCACATTTATCAGGTAGCTGATTTGTTTTCAAAATTAAACCATAAGGAATCACAAGATTATACCATTAGCATCCTTAGAGGAAATCTAGGAAGACCAAGCTGCAGCTCGTCGATATGTAACAGCTGGAGCTTTGGTTTCTGTTTGATGGTGTTGTCTTCCTCTTATTAACAGCCTTGCATGGCCTGCATCAGAGCAGTGACTTTTTATTTCATGATTTTTTTTTTTTATCTAGCTTGCTATAAAAGGTCAGTAATTCTTAGTTAGATGTTTAAGTTGAGAGACAATTCTGGGAGCATGTTTTTCTTTCAGTTGAAGTTGCCATGGTGCCTACCACGAAGATCTAACTTTGCGTTGCAGAAAGGTGACTTATGCCATTTTAATGAGTTATTTAGGCTTTGAAGTTTTTGCAGTTGTATGTGAAGACCTTAGACCAAATGCTAACACGTTTTCCATATTTGAGGCTGGTAGTTTAAATTGSAAATTTGAATTCTTTATACTTGGTGAACAACCTGCTTAGTGTTTCAGTTTAGTACTGTGCTCAAGTATTTGTAGCTAAACAGCGTTTAAATCAGCAAAAGCTGTTTTTTTATTTAATATTTTTCTTTGGGCTCCTTAGGAGGGTTTCAGACTGTGAGTAACTTTTCATCGTATGCCCACCCTCCAAGATGTATATACCTGCATATACATCTACGTTTTCAAAACTTAGTTTCATTCATTAATCTGTTGAGAGGTCTAACTCTCATTTAGAGCTCTTTACCAGAAGGAATACCAAGTGTATTCATTCAGCTTGTTTGTCAATAACATTATAAAACATTGCATAAAGGAATGCCTATATTTGTGATACCAACACTAGAAATCATGCCAGCATAAGACACCTCTGTCTGAAGCCTGTACGTTGGGATGTTTGGAGGATGCCCTTTTTTYAGTTCAATCACAAATTCTTACTCTTTGTCCAGACCCATCTATATGATACTCATAAACAAACTGTGTTAAAGTCACTGTGGCTGTTGTTRTAGCTTAAGATGTTTGTCCTGAGCAGCGTGCAGGTTTTTTTGCCATTACAGCTTTGTAATGGCAGCAGCCAGCACATGCCCTAATTTCCGTACCTGCAAAGCAGAGTTTGTGCTAGTTGTGCAGCTGGAGAGTGAAGGTTCCCTTGCTTTGGTTCTGCGGGCGCTGAGGAGCTGGTAGGATTGCTTGCAGCCTGGCAAGGGTGCCAGTGCGGTGGCTTTTGCTCGGTGTGCCAGGCATCTGCAGGTGACTCACCCATTGACTAGGGTAGTGTTTTGCCTCTGTGCATTTTGCCCTCTCCAAGACAGTTATCCCTAAAGTACTGCAAAATACATTTTTTAATTGAAATGAATGTATTGGTTGCCTCATACAGAAATCTTTTCTGAGAAGGTTTCTCTTCAAATAACCATTTACCATCTTTCTAGCTTTTTTTAAAAAAAATGACATCAGAGTTTGAAAATATCCTTTCCTTATCTCACTTAAGAGAATATAACCAAGCTGTTGAATAACTGCTTCACAGTGAATAAAATTCAGTGTACGCCTTATGGTAAATATGAAAACCATCATGATTATTTTTGGTTGAAAGTACATGCTGCTCTTTCAGAGGTAGTGGTTAAAATGGGATTTTTAGGTGAAATTAATTCCTTTACATGAGGAATTACATTACATTTACCTTCCTTCCCACATGAGCTGGTGGGGCTTTGATGCTTTGGTTCCACATGCCACAGCTTTAGTTTCAAGGAGGCCCTGGTCGGGATGGTGAAGGCAGCCTTGGTGGAGCTCAGTATCCTCAGAGGAGGGAACAAGGCCTTGCCTTCCACATTTATGCAAAGCAAAGCTCTTGTCCTTCCTTTAAAATAAATGAACAGCAAAGTAGTGATGGCACCATTGAAAGCTGCTGCTGGGAGATGAGAGGAGCGTGGCATCCACGAGCACAGCGACGGGGAGAGCCAGCGCAGGGACGGGCAGGAGCTCCTCACTTCGGATGTGTCCAGCACAGCAAAGACAACAGCTGCGCTAACCGCTTCTTAATTAGAACAGACAAAATTTAGCACGAGCATTTCCCAAGCTACAAGAATGGCCTGCAGGCGTTTTCTAATGAATGCCCTTCCTCATTTGCCCGTCTTAGCCCCACCAGCAAGGTTTGCTGGAAGTTGTTCTGTCACTTTTTTTCTTCCCCCCCTTCATGGCGCTGAGATGTTTCTGTGCGAGCTGTTCTTGGTCRCGCTTGCCGGCGCTGCTCGCGCACAGCAGTGCTGGCCGAGGGTTTGCTCACCACAAACCATTTTTTCCATAGAAATGCAACGGTGGAATTGGGGAACTGGGGAATTAGCAATTCCCCAAATCCAGCTTTCTAAAAATGCCCATTGTGAGAACAGTAATGTGGCAGTTATTCTAATTAACATTTGGAAAGAGGGTGGTGATTTTTCGCTGAGCAGGAGCACAGCAGTGGTAATTTTGGCAGGGCCGGCTGAGCTCACGTTCTGGCGAGCTGCTCGTGCTCCTGCAGCTCCACGTGAGCCAAGGCTGCYGCAAGAAGCTTCTTGCAAAAGTTTCATCTGTTGAATAGGTTTAAACCTGGTACTCAGACCAAGTGGTGTGCRGAAATCCTGAGCCCAGAGGCTGCTCACTTAGCTACGAATTTCTTATTCTTATGCTTTGAATTGCAAACTTGAGATTTAGCATTTTGGGGTCTTAGCAAAACATCTTGCCTTATAAACATGAGGGAAAGCAAACCACAAAGGCATAGCAAACCACAAAGGGATGTGCTTGTGTGTTCGTGTGGAGAGGGGTCGTTAATCCGAGTCCTCRGGAACAATCCTGATTCATCTTTACGTCTCCAGCAGACAGAGCAGGTGACAACGTCTTACGCTTCTTTGGACCAGAGTGTCTACCTGTAGTGTACTGTTAATTTCAACCTGTTTTTTCTTGACAAAACAAGTATTTTCTCAGCCTCATGATTATGTTCTAATTTGTTTTGCTCAAGTAACTGAAGGATTATTATTCGTGTTACAAATTTTGTCACTTGCTGGCTCATTTGTATTGTCTGTCACCGCTAGTCAGGTAAAATAGATAAAACATGCAATTAGATTTATAGATCCAAAGTAGTTGAGCACAAAATGGTAACGTTTGCAAAATATTTATATCATTTACGAATCATTAACTGCTTGCTGATGCTCTGGCAGCTGAAATAGATGCAGGCCAATTTAGGAGGAAAATTTATAACAGTAARCAGCTAGGAAAGTTTCATTTAAAGAGGGCTATGCTTTCTTGCATTGCCTGTAAGTGTGTATTTGCTTTCAGGATTGAGACTTGCTCCATGGCTTTCGGATTATTTTATTTCAGTGCTTTTCAGGTTATTTGGCATGAATGATGACAGAATAAACCATGTTATTTCTAATGAGGACTAACACCTCCAAAGGTGCGTCGCGGGCCTGTGACAACTTTGTGTCCCTTGGCCTTGCAGGTGGGCAAGTGGGAGAACCACTCGCTGAGCCTCAAGTACTCGGTGTGGCCGCGCTACAGCTCCTTCGCGGACAGCGCCCCGGACGACAACCACCTGAGCATCGTCACCCTGGAGGAGGCTCCCTTCGTCGTCGTGGAGGACGTCGACCCCTTGATGGAAACGTGCCAGAAGAACACCGTGCCCTGTCGGAAGTTYGTCAGAATTAAGTGAGCACATACACAAATACACGCTACTTTTCTTCCTGAGTTCAAAAAAAATATATATTTTTATTTCTCTATTTCCCTATGACCTCATTTATTCCTATTTCATTCCTTGTATGATTTCTGCATCTTGCTTTCTTTTTCCTTTTGWTATTTTTATTCTTTTTCCCTTCTTCCTTCCTCCCACACAGTAGGCCTTTCTTCTCACATATTTCTCCTTTTAATAAGGTGGAAAGGGAATCAAGTCCACTGTTGGTTAAATGCATGTGAATCACAGTGAGTTAGTAATAAGATTGTAAGTTTACAATAAATCCAAAATCAAGTAGAATTAGCCCTTTGCAATCACATGGAAGAAGGCTGCCTGTTCCAAAATCAGGTTCTGTTTTAATGAGTCCTYTTGGAATTGTTTTCAGGTATATAGAAATGTGCCTGTTCCAATTAGTGTTTCACGGTTTGAGGATGGCTCCTATTGAAAAATGTATTTGTGTTTAAGTTTGGTACAGGGTAAACTAGGCTAGCACAAAATATTGCYGCAATGTACTAGCTAGAGAAAAATTCACTGTTTAATTCCTTTGTTTTTTTCAGATAATCATTGGAAATCAGTAGAAAGTTTTTCAAAGYGCATTTATCAGTATTGCTGCATCCATTCTGTGCTTCGGTCTACACGTTTCTGAAATGGATATAGTATTTGCATTTCTTTAATTGAACAGGTGTTAGGGGATTTAATCTATGGAAGCAAAGATTTTCACAAATAATTATTTTAATAATTGAGAGGACTTTGTGCAGCAGTTGTGTAGATGTGAAATATCTCAGAATTCGATTGTATTACTGAATCATTTAAAAAATTCAGAATCAGATGAGAGAGAACTACAAACACCRTGTAAGGCATCCGGGGATTAATCCTCCTCTGTTGAGAAAAAACAATCAGAAAACTATTAAACTAGGCTCTGTGTGCAAGTAACTGTTTTCATCTCGGAAAACTATTTACAGAAAGTTGTGTACAATATGCCGAAAATTGCTGTTGTGGTTCCGTTTTTCACAGTTGATATGTTTGCCTCTCTTGTCTGTTGGCAGCAACTCAACTAATGAAGGGATTAACGTAAAGAAGTGCTGCAAAGGATTCTGCATTGATATCCTGAAGAAGTTGTCCAAAACGGTCAAGTTCACATACGACCTGTATTTGGTGACTAATGGGAAACACGGCAAAAAGGTCAATAATGTGTGGAATGGAATGATTGGGGAAGTAAGTGCTGTTAGGTAAAAAAGGCTCTTAAGGAAAAACGTAGCTTGTTTGTTTTTGCATCCCTTGGAGCGCTGGTCTTCCCTCCGGAGTGACAGCGACCGTGTCTCCCTCTGCGCACTAGGTGGTCTATCACCGGGCCGTCATGGCTGTGGGATCCCTCACGATCAACGAGGAGCGCTCCGAAGTGGTCGACTTCTCCGTGCCGTTCGTCGAGACGGGGATTAGCGTCATGGTGTCCCGGAGCAAYGGCACGGTTTCCCCCTCGGCTTTTCTAGGTATGAGTGGCCGGCTCTTTCAGATGGTTTAGCTGCGCCCTACGGAGCCGGGGCGGGTTTCGCTGCTCCCAACTGGGACACTGTGGGCAAGTTGCTGTAGATTTTTGAATCATGTTGGAAGTTTGCACCGTTTTGGAGGGTCCCAGCACRGGTTGAAAATATTGTTGGCTTCAGGTGTAGTAACTGGAACACAAATGCCCATGTTTTCATTATTTAAAAAATAAACCTAAAAACCTGCACCTGGAAAAAGAGCTTCTTCAAACCAGCTCTAGTTATTCTGGTCTAGTCACTAATCRTTTAATCTGTTTCTGATGCTTAAGTTCACAAAGTAATAGTAAAAAATCCTTGTAGAGTAATTAAGAACAGGAAGCTTCATTATAATTAAAATAGATGTGACAGCGCTAAATTGACAACAGATGCCAGTGGCTTCCGTGCTGAACAGCACACCACTGCGCTGGCAGCGGAGTGGTTTCTCCATCTCCCCTTCCAGCTGGGGTGAAGGTGTTTGTTGGAAAACAAAAATCGTTCTCTCAGGAAACATGTTAGTATCTCCACGTCCATCGGGTCACCGATCATACACTACTTTTTAGATTGCTGAGTTGTTCACTTCCACTCAAATCGCACAGAGTCAGTGCAGAGCTGGTTGTTATTGTAGTAGCAGCTACGGCTGGAMAAGTAAGTGGATTTTTTTGCACCAAAATCGTCATTTAACTACAGCTCATATTTTTCATAAAGGTTCAYGATGAAGCTGAAGCGATAATAAATGCAGCACAATGAGTGGTCAAATAGCTTCGCAGAGCCGCTGATGCACGGACGTGTTTTGTTGGTCCTCCTAGGAAAATTACTTGGATGGTTGTTTCTCATTTCCGTTACTTATGAACWTGTACAGCTAATCACCCTTAAAATTGTAGGTGCTGCATGCTGAAATTTTAATTCGGCCTAAAAGTCTTGTGTTGCTTTCCAAAGTGTGCTCTTAAGTGCAGTTGATTTCTGTTTGCTGTGGACTCTGCTTATCTCTTAAAAACCTGCTTCAGCTACAATCGAAACAGGCACCGCTTTTGCGCTTTTCACAGCAGCATGGTTATTAGATTGCTAAAATATATTTAATCTTATTGGTTTAGCTGGACATGCACAGGATTTTAAATGAAAAAATAACCCCTGTCTTATAAGGCGCTATACAATAGCATTACTTTTGGAGAAATCTGATTTACTGCACCAATAAATCAAGCCTGTGCTCTCAGCACTGTGTTCTGTCTTTTTTTTTTTTTTTTTTTTTTTTAAGACTTAGGCAAAACTGTCACTGAACTGGAATTAACTGTTTATTTGGATCAGGTGCGAGTCAGAAGAATCCAAATACTTTGCTATGCAAAATGCTGTGAGGTAGCTAACTGAATTAATTCAAAGACAGGTCTTGTTTTAAGTGAATGCATAAAAATAGACATGCCTTGCATATTTGTTTTTAAAGATATAGAAGTGTGCAATGTGGTATTATTTTTCTAAATAACATTGATTATAATTCATATCTGGTTTTGCTGGGTTTTTATGAYGAGTGTAGGCAAGTGCAGGATTTTGTCTGAGCCAGATCTAAGCCTCTGAYAAGCTGACTAGCTGCTCCTCGTTATTTGCTCCATTCTGCTTGGGACGTGGGTGTCTTCTGTAAATGAGAATCTTTATGCTAAAACATTTCATATCTTACCAAAGTTCATTTATATCACATCCACAAATACATTTCTAAAGATTCTGCAGATACTTCATTCAGCTTTATGTAGAAGCCAGCAAACAAAATGAAGCACACTCAAATCCAAATCTCTGGGTGTTTGAGACCAAGAGAGTTCACAGGTAAATTCAGATTTTGTTTTTGGAGGTGTGTGCAGAATAGGAACTGTGCATCTGTGTTAATTTTGTAAGGGTTTTTGATAAAACCCAAAGCGTGTGCAGTAACTCCTGTTGGTCAGTGCTCAGCATTCTCCCTTGCCAGCCATTTGAAATGTGCATTGACAACTCACATCCTCATATCAACTCACATCCTCATATCAACTCACATCCTCATATCAACTCACATACTCATATTTTCCTGTTGTATTTTAACCCTGTACAAAAATTTCTTACAAAACCTGGTGTTTGGCTGAGGGAACAATTTCTTTGCAAGTCAAGCGAGAGTGCTGAACTCATATATTGATCGATACTATGACAGGAAAATCAACTGAATTATTCATTTGTTTCTGTACTTGTTTAAATTTCCTACATAGCWTTTTATTTTGCTTTTTCTTCTTTTAATTCTCTACTGCCTTACACAATTGCTTAAATTATTAAAAACCATTTTGCTTTGACTGTTGTTTATAGCTCAGCTTTCCTGCCTTGTCTTGTTTGCCCTTTGCCTCATTTGGGTTTTGACAGATTGCTATTGGCATTTCTACAACGATGCTTTTGGTAAAAGAGTTTTTGGAGCCTTTCCTTTTTTTCTATGAGAATGCTGTAAAAAATGATAGCAGTATGCCTGGTCTTCCTGGAAATGCATTCAAATCATCACTGTGTTTTCTCATTCCAACTGGTTGATCAGATTCTTTTGAGTATTCTTTTTGTAAAATCTTTTATTTCTAGTTTGGCTTAAAATTTTCCTGCGTCGTCTCTTTAGACGACCAAAATCACAAGTGAGGCTTTTTGCAACTCGTTTTTTTGCTAGCAAAGGTGACTGATCTTTTGAGATTTATACGCTTGGGCCCAGGTGATTCCTTATGCCACATGCATAGTTTTGAGTGATGCATTCACGTTGACACTGTCAAAGTTTGCATTGAGCTACATTTTTCTCATTTTACCTCATCTCTCACTCATAGTGATTTCCCAAAACGGCGACAGAATTTTTAGTGTTTTCTGCTCTTAATCTCCATCCATAAAAAGAAAAGGTTCCTATTCCTGTTACTGCATCCTGCTCTCATACCCAAGCCTTCCAGTAATTACAGCTTGTTCTGGTATTTGAAATGACTTTTTGGTTTTCTCTTCTGAAAGCCTGTTACTTTTTTCAATCATTATTTTCTACCTACATTCAGTTTTCCATAAAAACCTCTTCCTGAGGAGCCTTGATTCAGAAACTTGCTCCCAGCTGAGGGTGGGACATGCAGAGGGATGTGTTTGTCCCTTGTAGGAACCACCACCGTTTCCATCATGTTGATGGAGAAATAAACAGAAAAAAATCYTGAGACATAAAATTTGCTGTGAATGCAAATTCTTGGCTTTCCTTCCTGAAACTTTCTGCTGGATGGAAACCTAGCAGAGCTGTTCTATGATTTACCAGCAGTCTTAAACATACACGTAGCTGCTCCTGGTTTGCTCACACCTCGTTGTGATGCCTGTGTTGATACGTGCATACCCACAGAAGCAGCATACTTTACATGTGAGCTAATTAAGCAGTGCTTCAAGTAAGTATTTGCCAGCTGGTGTCAGTTTTAGTAAGACTGAAACTTGTGGAGAGTAAGAGCAGCTGGTTGGGGGTGTTCTTGCTTTCTTTTAGGAAAAGAAAGTTGTCTTTGAGGACAACTCACCACTTTACATGTTGACCGGCGGCTGTTGTGTAGAAGGGGGTTTGCGGAAGGCRGCGGCCTGGCCGTGGGCGCCGGGGCTCTGCTCTGCCCGCTGTAACGTTGGCTTGTGCTTGTGCTGCCCTGCAGAGCCCTTCAGTGCTTCCGTGTGGGTCATGATGTTCGTGATGCTCCTCATCGTGTCCGCCATGGCCGTCTTCATATTCGAGTACTTCAGTCCTGTCGGATATAACAGGAACTTGGCACAAGGGAGAGGTAAGCTTTGTGTTTTACACYGCCTCAAAACTGTAAGAAAACATGTGTTTTCTATGCTCTGCCCTCCACCTTTTAAAATAAACATGACAGAGGAACACAGCACTATGAGCAGCTGTGAAACTGTGTTGCTCTTAGTTTGAAATGTGTTTTATGGAGCTTGTGTCCTGGAGACAGTTACAGGCTAATGGCTTATTGGTTTGATGCCTGAAAAGGGAAATTATCATGTAATGATCAGATGATYTTAGGATTTGAATAAGCTGGTAAATTTGTAAACACTGCCCAAAATGAAATTAATCTGTAGGAATAGACTATTTTAAGAACGGATGTATTTAATATTACTTCAGAGAATTTGTATGATAGTCACAGGGGAGAAAAAAAGTCATGTAGGGGCAGTATTTACACTCGTCCTACTCAGTTTCGTGTCATGTCTTTGACATTTTATTTCACTTAATAAAGACTAGAAGATCCTCAGTTGACTTGAATACCCAGCAGCTACTTACATTGAGGTAGGTTAATTATATTCAGAGGGGGAAAAAATGGCAATGCTGTCATGGAAAAGCCATGAATCTGCTCATGGCCCAAATGCTTCTCTCCTAAAATAGTATCAAAATAAAATTTTTACTTCTTCTAATGCGAGGGCCTGTGGTTCCCATTGACTGAGGCCTGGTTTGACACCTTTGCAAAGCAGGCCTGTACAACTCAAACACGTCACTGCGCATGCAGAAGAGCTTTGAGTCATCATTTCCCAAAATAAATGCTGTTAATTTATGGAAAGCGAAGAATTTAATAAATCACTAATAGTGCTAATCTATGAATAATGACAAGGACTATAATTAGGAAGGTGCCTATGCGACAGGGAGGGCCTGGGGGCTAAGCTGTTCTCCTTTCCTGCAGCGCTGCGTGTGCTGGGCCTGATGCTGAAGTATCCTCACAGCGAGGGGCAGAGTGTGACACGGTCCCCTCCCGGCTGAGCGCTAGGAACTTGTCATGGATCCATTCAAAACATGGGAAATTTAAAACAAATGGGAGTCTCTATGAAACTTTCTGCCTTTCCTGGGCTTTTTGGTCGGATGGAGCTTGGTGGTACAACCGCTACCATCTCCAGTGACATAAGAGGGCTCATGCTCTGTTTCTTTGGCATATACTTTTCTTATCATCACTGCTCAGAAAATACGCATTAGCCATGTATCAGCTGGATCTTAAATGGCCCTGGAAGGCAGTTTCATAAACCAAGAGCCAGCTCCACTATGCAGCACTGCTGCAAAAAGGAGAGGAGATAATCTAAGCTGTTGTGCTTGAGTGCATCCTCCAGATACTGCACTCTTTTAGGGAATGTTTCTACTGGAATGAGAACGTACACTAAGTGGGCTCACTTGGAGATTATTCTTTTTCATCATTCGCTTTAAACCAATTTATTTCTTCTGTTGCAATTATTTCTGTTTATTGCTCTGTCTAGTAGAAAAAAATCCGCTATTTAATGGATACAAGTTCTTGCACATCCCAGGAATAGAGAATCAGTCAGGACAATGTAATCAAATTTGGTTTTTCGTGTGGGTCCCTTGGGTGTAGGGAGAAAGGAAGGGGGTAGTTTTGCAGCTGCCTGTATCTGAACTTCCTGTCTAAATTGTCTTTTATTTGAAAAATGGATACTTATCAAAAAGATGAGATGATTCAGATGCAGGAGAGTGTAGCAGGAGTCCAGATGAGCAGCAGTGAGTGGTGCCTGCCCGGCAGGTGCCTCCCCTTCGGTCAGGAGAGCCTTGCCTCTGTTCCCGGAGCTACAAATTTCATGCCACAAACATGTCTTTAATATTTATATATAAAATGATGGCTTTGCTAATCCCTTGAGGCCCTCTCGGGGAGCGAGGGCAGTGTGCTGGCTACTTGCTCTTGCTTTTGGTTAATTCACAGTTGCCTGCAAAGAGCAGTAGCAGCCCTTAAGGACCTGGGTGGGTTAMCTGGGCTGGGTTTTTGCCTCTAACAGCCGCACAGCTGAAGCCAAAGCAGCCAGCTCAGTACGTGTGGGGTGGCCTTAGCCCAGTGCACTGAAAATCCTAGTGACCTGTGTGCTCAGCACCTCGGTGCTGACTTGCTGGTTGTTTTYTCTGGGCGGGAAGTTAGTTAAATGTGACTGAAATATCAATCCATTTTGGTCTTAAATATCCTTACCTGAGGTTATGCAGTATTAAAAAAGCAAAATGTTGGAAGACTAGAGATTACCAAAAGTAATCTGGGTGAGTAAACTACTTCAACTGAATTCTTACATTTTAACTGTACAGTTTTCCATTCTGCATGTCAGTTGGAGTAGAGGATTAAAAGGGGCAATACTGTGGCACACACCTTATTGCAAGAGGCATAACACAGTTTGTATCGTTTCCAAACCTAAATCTGGGTTGTGTAGTTTTAATATCTTGACGTTAAAACTGTTAAAACATCTTTTTTTTAACCAGTATGGAAATGGCTTTACAATAGAGAGTGCCTRTGATAAATCCTCTGATTCCTTTAGGAGTACAGTAGGTATTGAAATATTTTTAATCCTGTCTTTGTGAGTACTTTGTTGTTGTTATGTAGGGTATCTCCAAGTAAAAAGACCCCTCCTTGCAATTGCAGATCCCCACGGACCATCCTTTACCATCGGAAAGGCAGTGTGGCTGCTCTGGGGCTTGGTGTTCAACAACTCTGTGCCTGTGCAAAACCCCAAAGGGACGACTAGTAAAATCATGGTGTCGGTCTGGGCCTTCTTTGCTGTCATTTTCCTGGCTAGCTACACTGCCAACCTGGCTGCCTTCATGATCCAAGAGGAATTTGTTGACCAAGTGACTGGACTAAGTGACAAAAAGGTAGGTCTGTGAACTCAGGAAAGCTTGGCCTCCATTTCCCTGTTCTTTACATCATAGTAAATAGGCTGATTTTGCACATTGAACAGCTTTCTTCTGGAGCAAGGGTGCTTTCCAGAGCTTTGTACTTTCTWGTGACTTTTAATCAACAGATTTGTAAATCATAACCCATGCAGTTGATTTTTGTTTTATGAGTGTGATGGCTTTGCTGCTGTGTTATTGCACGTCGCAGGTAAAGGCTGTCTGCAAAATTATTGTTCTAAAAGAAAGGCGCCAAGCACAGGAAGGGCACAGTGTTTCAAGATCACGCCCCACTATTTGCAAACGAAGCTAAATATTGATATTCAGAAGTAATATTTATATAGAATGCAGCGCAAGGGAGAATTTCTCAAGGGCTTTGTCTCAAGAGAGAAAATAAAGGAAGTTGTTATTCAGAACAACTCAAATAGCCTTGTGTCTGTTTTTGCTTTAACTGTTCTTTACAACTAGGCTTTGAGCGTTCTCTTGAATTATCACAGCATGAATTGCAAGCGTGGCTAGAGGAAAGACAGATAAAAAGAAAACAAAATGATAGTACTTTTGTTTTTATGAAGTTACGTTGTTGAGGAAGCCTTTGGAAGAGTATAAAGTTCGTTTAAAAAAAGAAAAAACTTGTAAAATAATATACTTAGTAAGATCAGATAAAAGGTATTCTTCTCATGAGGACTGAAAAGAAAGTAAAAAGAACTAAAAAAAAGCCTTTCTGCTGTTTTCACCAAAGCCCAGACCGTTCTGCTGGGAGCTGCTGGTTTGGGCCGGGCTTGGCGGCCCCAGAGCCAGGCCTGACTCCCGGCCCTGCCCCGGCCACCCCGGCCCAGCTGTGTGGGACAGGGACTGATGCAGTGTTTGCTCGAGCTAATGACTTTCTTTCCTCTGTGGCTTTCTGTACTCTAAACTAAGGAGAATTTGATTTTCACAGTAAGTAGAATAAAAATAGAAAAAAAAGAAAGAACCATAAAATAGCACCTGCTCTTGTGCAATCTTCTGCTCATTTATTTGATCTATGACTTTTATTGTAAGTTCTTCAGAGTTTTGTCTGAAGCATATAGAGATAAAGCAGGAGGTCCTGAAAAGCAGCCGTCTCTTTCAAAGCATTCTTCTGGTTCTACCCATTTTTTGCCTTATCTGCAATCCTGAGCTTGCTCAGGTTCTTAACATTTCAAATAATTGGTGGCAATTGATGGGCCTGTAATATGATTAATGTTAAATTATTTTTCTGCCCTCTTTGCTGTATCGCTTCAGCGCCCCGTTGGTAGTAGAAGAGATCAAGAATTATCAGGAGAGAATTTTCTGTGGATAACTCTGATCCTTGCTGCAGGCAAAGCACTTGTGGGTAGGGACCTACAAGACGACAGAAATGGGGATGAATAAAATTACCTCTCTGCTTTGCTGACCGATAAATGATGTGATATTTACCCTTCTTTTCGGCTTTGAGACCTCCTGAGAATTTCCTCACCCTTCATGGTGTTGCCAGTGAGTTTCTGAATGCGCCGGCAGCTCCGGGTCGCCCAGAAATACACAGCACAGCCTGTGCTGGAGTTACTAGGGGTGGGTGTTCATAAATTCTAGTGATTCAGAAGACGAGCAGAAAATTATGTTTTGACACCCTTGTGTATGTGAAAGATTTTTAAAACCTTTGTGCTCATAAAAAAAAGTACAGAAAGTGAGTCCAAAAGTATCCAGCAAAGCAGGTATTCATAGAAACTGTTACTTTTGAGGCTATTATGGCATTTTTCATGGAAAGAAATAGTGGTAATGTTACCAAAGGAGAGCAGGAAAAGCAGTGACCTGAGTTATCTCGCAGAGCTGTTGTCTGCTGGATCCCTCCACACGACTGCAATTGAGAATGGCCCCATGTGCACACGAATTAGGGATTATGTCYGAGATTATTAGGTAAGCCGAGTGCTGCCTTTTAAAGACTGCTTCATTTTGCAGGGTTCCAGTCCTCTTGTAGCGCTGGTTTTATTTTTATCTGCCATAAAATACCCGGGACCTGACCTGTAATTGCTTATGGCCGTGCCTGTGTCACGTCCAAGCAGAGGGAGGTCAAAAAGGCAGAGGGATGATGGATTGTGTAGGGTGACCCTCTTTSCCCAGGTCCCCTCTCCATGTCAGTATGAGACCCTCACAGGCCCTTTTCAGAGTTGTCACACATAGATATTGATTGCTGTTCACTTAGTGGATGATCCTAGTCTTGGAATTACTGAAGTCGTATTTTTCAAAAACAACCCCAAATCAGAATGTCAGTTCTTTCCATCTGGTAAAAGAGGAAGGTTTAGAGTTCAAATGTGTGGGAGTTTTTCTTTTTTTTTCTTCATCACTCCAATCCAACTTGAATTCCCATTAAAATTTGTATTAGTGGAGGGAGAATATTTGCCATTTTCTTCTGTTTTCGTAATTCTTTTCACGGTTCCTTAAAATACCCCAGGGCAATAACTAGATAACTAACAACTGCTCTGAATACCAGCTCCTTAGGCAAGCATGCAAATCATCCCATTAACTCAGTATTTAATGCATGTGAAAGATTGCATTACTGACTTTTATGAAATTACCCGTTTTATTAAGGCAAAGGTAAAACAAACTAAAAGYAATAGGACTGTTTTCTCAGCTGAGACATTTATTATGGGAATCCTAGAGCTCTCCGATTGGATTTTCTTCCTCTGCGCACCACAGRTCTAGCAGCAGGCAGAACATGAAAGACTTGGCTCCTCTCCTGAATATAGCAGCTCTCTTTGCAATTGTGATTCAAACGGGAGGCTTCTGCATTTAATTTAAGTATTTTATTAACAGTAAAAAATTTTTTTCAACATTTCACAAAGTGCCCAGGAAGAAAACTGCCTCCAGGTAGACACGATATATTTTAGTTCCCATCGTGGGGCTTTGGGGAAGATAAGTGTGTGCAGAGGCTCAATGCTGCTTTCTTTCCTCGTGCCTGCCACGCGGATGTTGTTTTGCAGTCACAGAGCTATATGCTTCTCCAAGACATATCAGTTCTTAAAAGATAAATTTAAAATGATGGGTGACATCTTCATAGGCCTTGAACACGTGTGCTATTGCTAAAAAACAATTCCAACTTTATTTATTTATTTATTTTGCCTCTGTAGGTTGCCTATGAGCAGGCAGCAGTAACAGATAATGACTCCCAAAATTAATCTCAGYGTGACTGTTAAAATTTGTTGGTTGGATGTGTGGTGCCAGGAAACTCCGGTTAATGGATGGGGTTTGGAGCTATTTGTCTCTTTGAGTTGTCAGTATTTGAAATCCATTTAAGAGTTATTTGCTTGCTTAGATTGCTTGTTATCCCCTATGGTCTATGAATGAACACGTCCATTTTATTAATCTCTGCTGTCCTGCAGAAATGTTTTTGTGTCCTGGAGATGTTCAGTTCAGAACCGGTACCTTGCATCCTTCAGCCTTCCTTGTGTGAGGATTCCTCCTCCATGTCCAAATAGCTTCCACCTCTGTGAATGGACTTGAAAATTGAAAACCTTCAGATAAAATTTCCATTTATAAATTGCCAAGATCTCCACCATGATCTTCCTGTTCCTCAGGTCTCCTGGGACACCCCACTGTTAGGAGTCAAGCTTGCAGAAGCTGAATTTCCCCCCAAAATGTCAACCACATGAACAGCAGCGGTTTTTTGCATGTCTTAAATGTAGTGTTGATAGCTTAAAGTTCTTTTCTACAGTTCAGCCTATCCGCAAATTTGAAACACGTATTAGGAGTCATCCCAGTATTACTCAGGGAATTAATTATCTGTATATTTAAATGAAGTCACTAGCAAGCTCCAGCTGCATGAGTAGAATCTCTGAACATTTATTTGAGAGCAAGTTTTGCCTCCGGGCTGTATAGGAAACACAGAAAGGAGACACCAAAGATAGACTAAAACCCGTGACGAGGATGCAGTTTAATGTTAGGGTTTGGGTCAGAGTGTGGAAGGTAGCAGCAAAATAGTCATTTAAATAGTAAAGCTGAGAAAGGGGAAAATGAGAAAAGGAAGAGGCCTGTTATCTAAAAGAGGAGACAAAATTAAAATTCATCCCTTTACACTTTGTCAAAATACATTTAATTAAAATGAAGCATTTAATTGTAGTTCTGTAACATGAAAATATTGTCGCGGCAGTAATACCACGGTCAAGGCTTGATGGAATTGAAAATACTCCCACTTTGTGCATAAGCCTATTCGTATTCTGTTGCCAAATTGGCACTGGCTAGTGGGAATTCTTAATGCCCCGAGACCAAACGTTAAGGAGAGCCGTGCTAGACACGTAGCCCGAAGGAGGCAGCAGCCGTGTCGGGAGGAGCAGCCTCTGGCAGCTCGGCTGTCCGAGGGCTGTCCGAGCCGCGGGAGCAGCCGGTGCCTTCCCGCGCGAGCCACGGCTGCCTGCTCCTGCTAATGCTCAGCTCAGTCTCCTCGTTAGCCAACAGCTCCTCTGATYTGAGAGCGCTTTTAATTTAATCCCTGAGGCAGCATTTTAACTCGGTCCTGAAGCGTCTCCTAAAAGTTAGAGGGAGATGTTGAAAATGGACCTACAAAACTTCCAGGGCTGAGCCTGAAACTGCAGTGTGTCCCGAGCTCCTGCTGAGCCTTGGGACATGGTCCCTACCTCTGTGAGCTGGTGTGACAGAGATCCAGAAGGTAAAATTGTTGGATAAATCTATGTGGCCATGAGGAGGAAGTAGCCTGCAGTTGGAATCTGCAGATGCAAATAGGGACCAGCTTGGAGGTGTGAAAGCTGCAGAAGCTGCTTCCCTGCYGCGGGATGCAGCTGCCACGTGGGCAGGTGCAGGAGGCTGGAGCTGCTCCCGAATCTCTCTGCAGTGGATGAACCACCAGGCTCAGCCTTCCTGCTGCTACAAGCTTTCCCCAAGGATCCTCCAGATCCAGCATTGCCATCCCCGTGCAGGAGCAGCGAGGCGCTTGCTGTGGGAGCAGTCCTTGCGGGGACTCTGTGTCTGCTCAGACTGGCAGAAGTACAACTATCCGCTAAATGCCGGGTTTGACTTGTTAAACRCCAGCACATCTGCTTGTATGCTTGGTTTTCTAGGCAGACATGGGCAGATGAGGAGCATCTTCCTGTATCTCAAGCCCTAGTACAGTGCATAGGATAAAGTTTCATTGGAGTGACAGAACTGAGCTGACTYTGCTTTGAATGCAGCTATTTTTATGTGGTTCCACCAGTGTGAAGACACAGTTGCCGGTGTAGTAGAGCTGAATTAACTCCTAGTGTTCTCTGGGAAGAAGTTTGAGACAGCTTGCCCAATCCTGTCACCATGACATCGCCCTCTGATTTCCCTTACTTAGGGGACATCATAGGATGGTAGAATGCCTAAGGTTGGAAGGGACCTCTAGAGATCATCTAGTCCAACATCCCTGCCCCGTGCAGGGTCACCCAGAGCACRGGGCACAGGCTGCATCCAGGCAGGTTTTGAAGATCTCCAGAGAAGGAGACTCCACAACCTCCCTGGGCAGCCTGTTCCAGGGCTCTGTCACCCTCACTGTCAAGAAATTTTTCCTTAAGTTCCTGTGGAACTTCTGGTGCTTGGTTTTCTGTCCATTTCCTGTAGTCCTATTGGTGGCCACCACTGAAAAGAGGCCGCCCCATCTTCCTCGCTCCCTCCCTCCCTCTAGTTATTTACAAACACTGATCAGGTTCCCCCTTGGCCTTCTCCAGACCCAGCTTTCTCAGCCTTCTCTCATAGACATATGCACCACCACCCTTGCTGAACATCTGAAGCTCTTTCTTTGTCTCTTTTGTCCCCAGTTTCAGAGGCCACACGATTATTCACCTCCTTTTCGGTTTGGAACCGTTCCAAATGGAAGCACAGAGAGGAACATCAGGAACAACTACCCAGATATGCACCTCTACATGACCAAGTACAATCAGAAAGGAGTCGAAGATGCCTTGGTCAGCCTGAAAACTGGGTAAGTTTATTCTGTGGGTTTTAAAGAGTGCCCAGACTTGGAGACACTGAGAAATGCTGCTTCATACTTGCCGTGATACTGAGCAGACTGAAGTCATGTATGGTGAGTAGTGCTTGGATTTTTTTTTCCAWTTGATTTGTACCCGGAAATGACTGCTTGTGATTTGTGTGCCTTTTTTAAACTCTCATGGAGGATTCAATGTCCGGCAGGTAGCAGGTTCAAAGAGCAGAACTGATGTTTCCCRGAAGTCTGAAGAGTCGAATGGGTCTGGGAGTGGGTGTTGACGACAAACATTATGATTCCTGTAGCCCCTGSTCATCTTTTCAGGCCTCTCGTATGTCACTGGGCACACGTTGCCAGCAAAGGATGTTTCAGAGACCTGGCCACCATGCAGCTACCTGCAGCTGCTTTTGCCCTCACATCCTTTTGGCACCTTTTGGGTTTGCTTGTAGATTTTCTTCCCTCCTGTAACTGTGCATTGCCTGTCCTATATGAAGCGTTGACTCTGGTTCTTAGTTCTCTGGTACTCTGGTTCAGTACAGGCGTCTGAAATGTGTGACCAAATTCTGCTCCTGGTGCTTTGAAAATGTCCTTGTTCTTCCTCCCCCGTCTCCGAGATTCACACTTCACTGCTATCCATCTCCTGCCCCCTCCAAACTGGCCAATTTTACATAGTTGGAATGAAAGACTTAATTCCAACCTTAATCCTGTGGAGGTGTGAAGATACCACTTCACACATATATGCATCAGTGTGAGAGGACTCTAGTAATCTTTCCTGAGCATGTAGGCTTCTTGGTAACATTTGTACTGTTAGTAATGTTGGATTGAAACAATTAGGACTGATCAAGATAGGCATGATGCTTTTTYGGTGAGAAGGCAAAGTTATCAAAGTGAATTAAGTGCCCCTGCTCCAGTGGCTGTCTTACACAGCACATTTTACTCAATATTATTACAGTGAGCGTGGGAGACATTCATATACTAAATGAAGCTTTTACTTTTGGGCCCTATTTTATAAACCTTTCAATTTGCACTCTCCCTTACCAAAATGTTTAGAGGTTTGTAAGGTATTTTGTGAAACGGTTCCGCTATCAAAACCTTTCTCTGGAGTCCCAGTTCCCTCTTTTAAGACATTATCCTTCCTTCTGCACTGTGTTTATCTGGTTTTCTGAACTCCCTCATCATCATTTCTCAAGGCATCCATTCTCAGCTGGCGTTTCTCAAGCACAGTTTGTCCCATCCCAAGATAGACACGTACCATAAGGTGAGATTAACCTCATCCAAGGTCTTCTGAACTGGAGGCAGAGTTGCAGCTCATGCCAGGCCTGTGCAAGCCACATTTCCTGGGTGAGAGTGAAATTGTGCATTTTAGACACTCAGCTGAATGCCACCACTCAGGCTGTGACTTTTGAGGGAGGAAGCTGTCYTTAATTTTAACCATTGCTGGGGCTGTCTAGTTAGATGGGTAATTTATTTCAGRGATATTTCTTGTCCTTTTCACCAGCCATTTGTGCTATTGAAAACCCTAAAAAAGATGTAAAACCGGGCTACCTGTCAGATGTTGGAGCATGATAAGAGGGGGCTGCGGGGCGATTCAGGACATGACTGAAACTCAGATTGGCTGCTATTGTGCCAGCTGCTGCTTTTCCTCAAAATCTTTAGTCCTTTTGACAGCACAAGCTATTCATTTTCATGGATTTTTTTTCCACTGGTATTCCTTTCTTTTAAGTGAATTTCAAATGTGGACACCCCTGTGTGTCTACCTTGATTCCCTTGATGGACATTTCTGTAGCAGATGGTGCCAACAAGCTGCTGTGCGCAGCGGTTTGCAGAGCAGAGTAAGTAGCTTCCRTACAGCTGGGCTCCATAGTGATTTATCTGACGGCACCTAAAGAAGCATTAAATGACACAGCATCGCTGCTGAAGTTTCTTGCAATAGAAATGTCACTTTGTGCTTGACTGTATCAYGGCTTGGGAAGTTCCAGCAGAAAAGCCGCGTGGGCTTATGGATTTTCTCCCTTCAGTTCCTGCAAAGCAAGATCTGTGCAGAGAGTCAATTACTGGGGTAAACGTGGGCCTGGAAGCTGAGCTGCTGGTCATGCATCGTGCCTGTGCCTTCCTTCTGCCCCTTTTCATCACCAGCAGCGGCGTTCAACAACCAATTTGTCTTACGTATCTTAAAGCCTGCTGCTGCTTCGCAGTTTTGGGGAGCAGAACTACTTGGCAATTATACTCACAGAATATAGACATGGAAGGACTTGCCAAGACTGTCTAGGTGATCCTGTTGCTGCAAGTCAAAAGAAATAATACCTGTGTTATTCCTGCAGGTTGCTTGTCTGACCTTAGGTATTCCTGCTATAAGTACTGAAAATTRCTTCTGCTTAATGAAAGGTACTGGCAATACTTAAGGACTGTATTAAGTACTTAATTATTAAGGCAATACTTTATATTGCCTTATGTCAAGACAATATTATTGCTCAATAAGGTTGCCTAATTGGGCAATACTTAATGACTGAAAAGTAGTACTCTTGTGGCCTCTCATCTCAATGGAATCAAACTATAAAGTTGCCTCTTACCTAGTTCAGCCCAGTTTTGGTGTTTCTCGAGCTCTTTAGTCTCTAGGTCAGCTCTAATTAGTGTTAAMTGAATTAGCGAGCTTAGCTCAAGAATTTCCCAGGATATGTTGGGAAATTCTTGAGCTTTGATACCCTGGTGTTTGAGGCCGTTAGTGAGTTGAGCAGGGTGGGGAGAGAGGAAGGAGCCACAAGGTAAAGCTTCAGGTGCACAGAYTTCTGTAAGATGTTTTATCTTTCCAGTTTGTTGGTTTACCCTTTTTAACAGCTGGAAGAGAGCAGAATAGAAGTAATTTAAGCAGCCTAATGAACTTGTTATCTGTGCTAATTTTGCATTTTTTAGCCTTTTGATTTGATGGCTTAATTATGTCCCTTTATTCGTGCTGCAAAACAATTTTGCTGTCTTGCTTTATCRCAAGAAGTGAAAAATCAGTCCAGGGGCTAACATGAATATGAAAAGCCCAGAGGGCAGAAGTTAGGACTGGGAATGTTGTAYTGAGGTGAATGAAATCAATGCTGTCCCTTGCCATAACTGACTGGTCTGGTGTAGGGGTCAGATAGGGTTTCTGCTGGACTATGGCAGTGCATGCAGAGTTGTTTGCTCTTTGAAGGCTCAAGCAAAATATCCTGCTTCCCTCTGCTTGTATCTTTGYGGGACCTGACAAGTCTAGAAAGATTAAACTAACAGTGTTTCAAAACTAGCATGCAGAGACAACATCTGCATTTATTTTTCTGAATTAGAGCAAAGAACTTCAYTACATGGGCAATGCGTCTTTAGCAGGCTTGGAACTATCTTGTTTAATTARCTGACTATTTTTTAGACTGTTCTAGGAAAGAATCAGCTGGGAAAATACTGCAAATTGAAATGGGAAAAAAAAAAGATTTCTGATTTAGGCTGACTTTACCTTGTACCTCCTGCTACAGGTGTAATCCCTGTGGGAGGTTTAWTGCAGTTTATTCATGAAGGCTCAGTATTGATGGGGAAGACTAATTTATCTGCAATATTGGCTTGTTCCATTCATTTGTTAAGAAATCAATGCTGTTCCTGACAATACGAAACAAGTGCTATCTGTAAAGACTCAGCAATATGTGTCTCTTGTTGCAAGCGTCTCGTTTTGGTGGATCACAGATATAATTCTTAGAAGGCTTCTGAAACATCTTTTTAGTGAGTAAGGAGCTTTCTCTGCTCCATTTAGAAAGTGAAGGAATCAGTTTGCAATCATGCCTGTAAAAAAGAGCTGCCTGCAGGCTCTTGTTATTGAAGCACTATTTAATAGTTTTCAAAAGGCAAGTCACACGTTCCAACAAACTCAGCATTGAAAATCACAGGCTCGCAAGCTAATCAAAAAAMCAATGAATGTTTTGCTCAAAACAAAAAAGAAATGAGAAGGATCTGCTGAACCACCTAGAGCTCCATCCGGCTCTTCAGGTGGGACTGGGAAGTTCAGGAATTCTCCTGATCTGTCCATTTGTTCCTCAGTGAAAAGGAAAATGGCWAATTTATTTTCCTGAGCATTTTCTGAAAGAATAAGGTGTGTGAGAGGCCRGTATGTTAGCTGCAATCTCCTCCTCCGTGGCAGGACTCCCAGGTCTAGTAGAGCCATGGTGGGTCCTCTGTGTTCTTTAGATGTGTATCGATAATATAAAGCCGTAGAAATGCACTATATGCATTTTTGCCTATGCTGTGCTTTGCTAATCTGCATTTGTAGAGTCCCAGTACCAAAGAGATCCTATTGATTTTGCTTCTTGAGGAGAGAAACTGCTATTTGAATAGAAATTAGTTCATTATATTGTTATGCTTGCAGTGGCTTTTATGGTTTGCTTCTGTTTCCCTTGCGTTTTCTATCCCCAGAAGAGTTTATAGTTAAAGGGTGCTCTCTTTTTTTACAAAAAAAAAACCCCAGCATTTTCTGCTTGAAATCTTTTTGCCGGGGTGTGAGACTTTGGTTTCTGAGTTTTGCAGGTCATGTTTCCTTCTGTATGAGTGTTCTGCTGCCRAGACAGACATGTCACACTGCCAAAGGGGGAAGGAGCACTGCTAATAAAGTGGAAATACATTTAATGTTTGTCCTTTTGCCTCTGCACGCCTACATTTGTGCATTACTTGGGCTCTAAGTACAACTGCCTTCATCTCCTGCGAAGATGCTGCTGGCCTGCAGGCATGTCCTGAGCTCTTGGTTGCTTTGATGGCCACACGTGACTATTGTAGTCTTCAAAAAGCTTTAACATATATAATGGTGCTAGAGAAACCACCAACTGAACRCTATGAGTGACATAAATAGGGTTTTCTCCCCAGCACACTCATCACGGAGCTCGCCCCGCGCCCAGCAGCGCTTCTGCTCAGCAGGGCTCACAGTTAATGCCATAACGTAAAACCAAATTAAACAAAAAACCCACAAACTTGTTCTTTAGGGAGCCAGCTGACRTCTC